TTTTCGAAGTGCAAATTCACAAGGAAAGACAATGCCACCCAATTGTGAAAGAAATGAAAGCACTTGCAAACAGATAGAGACCTAAGAAGAAGAGAGAAGTAAGAAGAAGAAGAAGAAGAAGAAGAAGAAGAAAGAGAAGAAGAAGAAGAAGATGTACACCAGCAAGACCAATGGCAAATCCCCCTTCTCTCTCCACCTTCCTCCTCCCCCTTGTCTTCGCCGATCTTGTTCTTCTCCCAAATAATAATAATAACAATGAGTGGTTGAACCAGAATTAATATCTGAAGTTCCCTCTTGTTGCCAGCACAACAACAGGTCTACCATAGCCATGGCTTCCCCCTTCTTCCTCGTCTCATCTGACGAGGCTATGGCGGACTACTAAGGGCTCTGGCCTCCTGTGGAAAAGACAACACAAAGCAGCTATGGTCGCTGCTTATCAGGCCGCAATGCCTGACTCTGGCCCGAGCTTCCTTGGTGCGGCACTACCCCAGCTGGGGCCTTGCAGATGCAGCGCCTAACAAGGTGATGAAGATGGTGTCCACCATAGTCAGGTAGGTACCTTGCCACTCGCCTCCCTCGCCCCCTTCTTCCTCCTCCTGAAGCTGGGCTGCTCACCATAGCCAGGCTGAGCGCCGAGCTCCTCTTCGTCCTCCCAGGCAGCGCTCTGAGACCAGTGCCCGTTCAAAGCAGAAGGTCGCTCCTGGAGATATAGCGACCTACTTGCCTCTTGGGCGGTGACTTCCAGGCTGAATGGCCTCCAAGCAACCGGTACCTCCTCCCTTTTGGAGGGGAATATCATTGCGGGCTCTGATATCGTCCGTACTGGCCCTATACTCAGGCTACCTGGACTGGTACCTGAGTACCTCTAGCCTACCGCTACGGGGTTTAAAGAAATGCCATCTTTTTTGTCTTCTTCTGCTCGGCCTCGAGTACCCGACACGTCTACTTCTGCTTGAGTGGTACCCGCCTACCTGCTACTTGAGTGTTTTCCCCCGCTGTTCTAAGTGTTGCGGGCCTACCCCCGCTACTTGAGTGTTCTTTCCAGCTGCAACCCTCAAAGTCACGGCCACAGGCAAGAGTGTTTTTCCCCGCTGTTCTAAGTGTTGCGGGCCTACCCCCACTACTTGAGTGTTCTTTCCAGCTGCAACCCTCAAAGTCACGGCCACAGGCAAGTTGAGTGTTTTTCCCCACTGTTCTAAGTGTTGCGGGCCTATCCCCGCTACTTGAGTGTTTTTCCCAGCTGCAACCGTCAAAGTCACGGCCACAGGAGGGTACTGGACCTGCAGGGCCTCTCAACGAACAAGTACCCTTGCGGGTCACACACACTCAGGCCGACAAGCACTCAGACAGGCACGCACACACAGAGACTTAAGAAACTCGGCCGAATGCGGGAATCTCAGCAAGGCATACATTCCAGCGGCAAAACCCAGAAATCAGCAGTGTTCTCAGTCTGTGTTTTGGAGGGTCATTACACTACCCCCCTCTCATGAGCGAGGTCCCTTCGAGCGAGTGACTCATTCAGAGTCCCTACAAAATGCGTCATAAGCGTAGATCAGGAAGAGAGTTTCAGTATGACCGAGGAGTAAGTGTTGCAGAGAACTTAGCAGTTTGTCCATCGGCTATCTGTCTTTTGCAAGCTTTAGCAACACGGGGAGCATTCTGTAACAGCTCTTTCCGGTCAATCCAATAGAACTCATCCAACGTGTGATATAGGAAGTGAACTTTGTACTGCGTGCTCCTTCCTTTTCCTTCATGTGAAACAATTCTGTCTATTTCGTTATCACCGTTGGTCGCACAAGGAATCATAGGGTCTCGGAATGGAAAAGTCTCATCTGCAATGCGGGGAAACAATTTTGACGCCTGAAAAACCGGATACGTGCGCAGATGAGGGGGCATGTCTATCACATACGAAGGGCCAAACCCATCATTCCCTACCGCCTTCAGAGCTTGCCAAGGGCCATAGTACAGGGGAATAAGCTTTCGTACTACTTCCTCTTCGTTCGAAAATTCAGACATTTCGACCCTGACATAAATCCCGACCTCCAATTTCCCTTCTGTCCGCGACTTGTTAGCATTTCGTACCAAACCCTTCATTCCCTACCGCCTTCAGAACTTGGCAAGGGCCATAGTACAAGGGAAAAAGTTTTCGTGATACTCCCTCTTCGTCTTAAAATTCAGACATTTTGACCCTGACATAAATCTCGACCTTGAATTTCCCTTCTTTCCGCGACTTGCAAGCATGTTTGATCATGGTGCTGGCGCTTGTTCATTGCTGCAACAATGGCTTTGAGCAAGTGTGCATACTTGGCATTGGAGCCAGGCATGCCTTCATCAGACCAGGTGACCGATCAGGGAACAAATAGGATAGAGGGTTGCACATCTGCCAACCGCATTGCAACTGATTCGGTGGCACGCCAGTCTATGTTGGTGATTGGCACGCTCGCGTTCAATCGTGATTAAATGTGCCACGTGGCAGCGCGTGGCAAAAAAACGAACGCGT